TCCTGTGAAGGCTAAGGCAATGGCTGCAAGGTTTTATAGAAACCATGCTATTTCCTAATAAGCTAGAAACAGCTGGGCTTGGATGTTATAATTTCCCTTCTGGATTCTGGAAATGGTGGTCTCTATGTGTTCCTCAGAGAAAGAGATTCAATAAATCATCTAAAACCATTAATTACATTATTATATCTAATTTCACATTTGTGTACTATAAAAAGCATTTTGCCATGTCCTGTTAATTTTTTTATTGCACCACTCCTCATGGTTTGGGGAGGATTACCTTTGGAGTATGACACAGTAGGACTCAATAATAAAGAAAAAAAACACCTTTACATGCTTGTTATTCACATAGAGATGTATTTGAATAAAGTTCTCATAGTCAAAATTGTTGTACCACATTTGAAGCAGACCAATGGGCTGAGTTTTATAAACCACTGTGCTATAGAAGTCAAGGCCATGGCACGCATGGGCTCTGCCCACATGCTGTCTCTCTGCCAGGGGTCTTGCAATGCTAATGAGAGAGGACTCTGAGAAGAGGGCCAGACAACTTCTGTTCCATTTAGAAGGAATGAAAGGATGAGGTACATGCTCTACAGTATGCCTCTGTTCTTGCCAAAAATTACAATCCTCATAACCACCCTGTAGGAAGGAAAATGTTACAGTCAACTTTGCATGTGGAGACAAAATGCCTGACAAGAACCACTTAGAGGACAGAACTTTATTTTGGGATTCCCAGATTCAGGGTCTCAGTCCATAGCCGGTCAAGTCCAATGCTCTAGGCCCAAGGGGAGGCAGAACATCATGGTAGAAGGGTGGAGGAACACTGTTCCATTCATGGAAACCAGGAAGCAGAAAGAGGGAAGGAAGAACGGACCACAGGGAAGATGAACTCCTCCAGAACCCGCAGTGACCCACCTCCTCTAGCCACACCCCACCTGCCTACAGTCACCACCAGTCAGTTCATTCAACTAGGATGAACTGATTAGGTTGCAGCTTTCATAATCTAATCACTTTACCTCTGAATATTCCTGCATTAACACAGGAGTTCTGGGGGGACACCTTGCATCCAAATCATATCAGAAGCTTCCATCTTCCAGGAAGGATGATAACTTAGTCCTATGACATGGAACAAGATTTGCCCTATCTATGCTGTCTCTCCAGGTCACCACTCACTGCTTTTTTGTAGATTTCTTCCTAACACACATTTTCATTCCAGAAACAAACAGAAAGCTGGCTGACCATGAGCTAAAACATTTCCACAGATATTCATTTATAATGTTGTGATCCAGATGTCTCATTTTCCTTTTTTCAAAAATCACTCTCTGAGGATGGCTCAGGAAAAAAAAAAAAAGTCAAAATCCTTGTATGGCTTCCGGTTTCACCTGAAATGAAAGTTTGTTGGCGCTGCCCCAGGATGGGTCAAGGCTATGCATTTGAGATGAAGTCTTTCTTCTTCTTTTCTTTAAGCCTTATCTGGGAAAAAGAACCCAAGAAGCATCATCTTGAAACACTCATTTGATTTCATTTCCACAGTGCCACCTGTCACAATACCTAAACATGTAGAGTTTGGTTCATCCTGAGCATTATGCAGTCACTGTCGAATAAAACATTCACCAGACAGAAAGAAGATAGGCCAATTTTTTAAGCTTCAATAAGGAAATGAGAATTAATGTTGGCAAATTAAAATCATCTCTGACAATGCATATACTCTGTTGTTTCGGAATATAACAATGAAATGAAATTTGTGTCGCTGTCATTTTAAATTAAGAAGTCTGGAAATGATATGACATCTGGAACATTGAGAAGCGATATTTAAAGGAGAGGATATTTAATTGTGAAATTTCAAATAAAGACACAAGGTTTCTTTAGTTTATATTCTACCAGTCTTCCAAAGCCAAGGAGATCAAATCCTTTCTCCAAATCTTCTTCACCTTGTTTTCTGTGAACTAATTCATGTATGGTGAAGAATGTGACCCTCAGGAAGTGGAAAGTACTCTTGGATATTTACTCTGTAAAGAGATACATTTGTCATTGCAAACAGTCTTGGAGTCAGCTGATAGTTTTGTTACTGACTTACTGATGCCACAGTGATATTGTGCCTTCAGCCCCATCCCTAGAAAGCAACCTCTTAACACGGGCTTACCCGGAGAGGTAGGAAAGATGAGTATTAATTATTGTTGTGTAAATGGGAAAACTGAACTCTCAAGGCTGGCTGTGGACTTGCCTAAGGTAAATGGCAGATAGGAACCAATTACCCAACTCTGTGACTTCCCTCTTCCTCCCACAGTTGAGAAAACCAAGAACATCGTTCAAATATGGGTTCTGATTACTTCTCTGTCACTGACTAGGTGTGCATCCTGAGTAAATCACAATATCATTACACCTCAGTTTTCTCATCTGAAAATGGCACTATGTTCAAGTCAGCTTTTCATTACTGTGACAAAATGCCTGACAAAAACAACTTAAAGGATGAAAGGTTTATTCTGTTCAAGATTTCAGAACATAGTTAGCTGGCTCCATTGCTTTGGGCCTGAGAGTGGATCACAGCAGTACAGTGGAAGGGTGTGGCAGAGGAAAGCTACTCACCTCATATAGATAAGAAGCAGAAGAGGCTGGGGCAGTCAAAATAAACCCTTAAAAGGCACACCACCAAAGACCTGCTTATTCCAGCTAGGACCCATCTCCTAAAGTGTCCACCATCTCCTAATAGTGCCACCAGCTGGAGACCAAGCCTTCAACACATAATTTGGGGAGGAACATTCTAGATCAAAACTATAACAGGCACAATTACCACCCTACCTGCCAGAGAAACAATGGATACATAGTGCTTACTTTCTTTCCCCATGTTAAAAAATAAAATTAAAAAGATGACATACAATTCTTACTACCAAAACAATTTAAAAATTGAGACCAGATGGTATGAGGACTGAGGTGGCCAGAAGCCTAAATCCCTGGTTTATCTTCTAATTACAAATGTAATTCATATCAAATCAATTGGCATCTTTGTTTCTCTATCTCCTCCGCTACACTTTGGTTGTACCAGAACTTTTTTTTTTTTTTTCCTGATTTTTGGTTGTACCAGAACATTTTTTTTCTAACTCAGTCTATTAGGTTTCTATGCTACTTTTTTTTCCTGTACACCATGCTGCCTTTGAGACACTTTACCATGTTCACTAAAGATGAACAGCTAGAACGTTTGTGTGCAGTAAAAAGATTGGTATTGCCAAATCAGTGTAACACATTTGCAGTCCCACTGTGATTATTATTTTTTTAAAACTGGTTGTTAGAAGCTTGTAACAGCCTAATGGAATTAAAATCACCAGGCAAAGCATAATGAGGAGTAGGAGTCAAATTATTTTAGGAACTACTGAGACTTTGTCCCTGGCCTACTTCGAAGAGCTCACAAAGACTCTGTGTGACACCTGATGGGGACAGCCTTCTCTGAAGTGTCCTCCCTTCCAAGGAATCATTAGTGCTGCTCAGCTCTGGCCACAGTGGCAAATGTCAGCCACTCAAAGAATCAGCTGCTTAATTAGATTTGGAGAACAGAAGGAAAAGGCAAATGCCAGATATTGTGTAGCAAGGGAAAGCCAGGGGCAGAGTGGAGGTTTTCCATTAGCATTTCACCACTGCCTGAGGTGAGTTTTAGAATTTTACAGCAAAATGATCTAGTGCCAGGATCCAGGAAAATCATCTTTTCTGGACTTCAAGAGAGTTCTAGAGTTCTCTACCTGGAGGGTTACTCTTCTCTCAGGCTGCTTAAATCACAGACTGAACACAGTGAAGAGCCTTATTTTTTTTTGCACCTGGCTAATAGGCACGGGCGTGCACGCGCGCACACACACACACATACACACACAATTGTGCACTTGCTTGCACACGTGCACACAGACTCTCTCTCTCTCTCTCTCTCTCTCTCTCTCTCTCTCTCTCACACACACACACACACACACACACACCTCATTTTGGTCCAATCTTTGCATTTCACAGACTCCTTCCATGTCCAATATCTTCATGAGGAGATGGGGCAGATGTTGAATCATTTTTCAAATGATAAAAGTAAAGCTCAGGAACTGTGGGAAAGTGTGCCCACCTGCTCAAAGATGATGGGGAATTCAGGCCTCAGACCTGTGTCTTGACACAAACCTGGTACTCTCTCTACCATTCAGAGGCAATTCAATTTGCTCTTCTTCCAGGCAGGTTAAAGTTTTGTTTTGTTTTTTTAATTCAATGCCTGAGGTATCTAAAACAAATTACATGAGTACATTTAAAGAAAATAAATAGAAATATTCGCTGATCTCGAGCAGACAAAATTTTTATAAAGAAATCAGCATATTGTGAACATCCACCAAAAGCACATGTGTGTTTTCAGGGTTCTTCAACATATGCTAGAGGGAAACACTGGTCAGCAGTTGTGCTCTGGACTGCAGGATGTACAGAATTAATTTTCTGGAGGAGGGAGATTTGGAGCTTCTTGGGTTCTTGTCTCAGAGCATTCATTTGAAGCATCTGTTGAAATCTCAGCAGATGGGGCACATCAGAAATATATTTTTCTTTATGTTTTATCTTTAGTTCCTTAAAGAAACCTGGCACCTACTGCACTGTGGGGGGAAATAAAAGTTCATTTTATATCATCACTTGTAATATAAAGACATAAGCATTACTTATTCCTAGGGGAGTTACTTCACTGTTTTCCTTTCCTGGTCAGTTTTATAATTAAGCTTCACTGAAATAAAAACTAAAACTTCGATTTAAATGTGGTATTTCTCCCCCCCAAAATGCACTAAGTGGTTTTTGTTTGTTTTTATTTCTGCAGGTCTTGATGGACACCTGATCCCCTGCTGCTGCCTTTGTTTAAAAACCCAGAAGTTTTGTTGTGCTGATTTCCCAGTCTATAATTTCTGCTGTGGCCACATCCAAAAGCAATGCCAATTACTTCCTTCTTAACCCCTGTGTGAAAATTTGACTTTAATATACCTGTTCATTCCTTCACCTTCATAAAGATGTCTGAGCCTGACTCTTCATCTGGATTTGCAGGGAGTGTGGAGAATGGAACTTTCCTTGAGTTGTTTCCCACATCACTGTCCACATCGGTGGACCCATCCTCAGGCCACCTGTCCAATGTCTATATCTATGTGTCCATATTCCTCAGCCTTTTAGCATTTCTGCTTTTGCTTTTAATTATTGCCCTCCAGAGGCTCAAAAACATCATCTCCTCCAGCTCCTCCTACCCCGAGTACCCAAGTGATGCTGGAAGTTCTTTCACCAACTTAGAAGTCTGTAGCATTTCCTCCCAAAGGTCCACTTTTTCAAACCTTTCATCCTGAAGAAAGTGGAAGAATCCTTAAAGCAACAGCAGTTTCAGTTTTCCTTTATGGGGAGTGTTGAGTCATCAAAGAAAGGACCTCTTTGGGTTAGACCTGTTTTCCTCCTTCCTCTTTGATTTCTTTTCTGTTCCCTGATGCTTTTCATTTCTGAATGGAGACGCAGATGCTGACAGAAATGCGTGCAAACTCGGAGGTGCAGAATTTCACAGACCGTTTGACAGATCCGGAGCTGGCTTCTTGGAGGTTGACCAGCATTTTGTTGTATGTTCACTGGGAGGCTTTCTCAGGGAATGCTGGGTATGGGCTTTTGCACTTCATTTCTCTTAGAAAACCACAAGATCAACTGAGCCAGCAGCACCTGGCAAAATTGAATTATTAAGAAGATATTCTCCAAACTTGAAAGATAAAGCAGAGACACCAAATTAAAAAAGAAAAAGAGAAAAAGTGAGTCAGTCTAGAATTAATGTGTAACATTTCTAAACCGGGGGTAAAGAATACACAAAATGTTTTCTTTAATTTCACTTTAACAAATGAAAGTCACATTTATGCATAGATATGACATTTGGAAAAGTTTTGGAAGAGTTTGACTTTCAATAGCAAGACAAATATGCGTCATGAAGCAGTTTGTAATGTATCTGTGCCTCCTGGGCTTTTTCTTCTACTTACGTTGCAGTTATAATAGCCCTCAATTGTGGAATTCTTTATGACAATTGTTATTACTGTTACTAAGAGAAATAAAACCAGAAGAGACACCAAGGATTTTTTATTTTCTATCTATTTCTGTCAGTGGGAATTAAGCCTAGGGAAAATATTCATTTCGTTGTATTTTATACAGTCATAACTTCTGGCAGTCATGTATGTTCCTTTTATTCAGCTTCCCAGTCTTTATAATTTTAGTGCAGAATTATATTAAGGCTCCAAGGCATCAGATGTTTGTTCATTCACTTCAGGTTGCAAAACTTAGAGATTAAATTGCTGATATACATGTTTGTATATACCCTGTGAATGTTCTGTGTCTCTGACAATTAGTCATTGTATGTTAATAGAATATTCTGCATTAGGATTCCAGGATGTGTGCTTATATTAAAATTCTAGACCCTCCAGTTGTCCCTGCTGAGAGCTTTAGTTATGCCAGCAGCTGCCACACTGTGATGAGTCAAGTACCTCTGAACTTGGAGGGGGGTCCTCAAAGTGAGATGCTCATGAGCATAGATGCTGAATGTGGAAGAAATCAAGCTGCCCCTAAAAGCAAAACAAAGCAAATGCTACAGCTTCTTAAGAACAAGAATCTTAATTTAATTTGAAAAATAAATGGCCCACAGCATAAACACTGAACTTGACCTGCGGAAGCCACTGCACCAACATGCCAGTCTTCCCGTGGCAACGGAATCAACCTTTGCTCACAACATTTAATGGTCTTAAGTGGTGGAGCTTCAGCACGTCCTTAGGTTGGCCTGTGCAGTCAGCACTCTGTGGTCACAAGAATGAGAAGAAGGAACCACCATGTTCCAGGGTCTGTCTTTGTCACTCTGAAATGCTGAGAGATTGAGGACCGGTAAGGAGGATCAGAAGCCTTTAACTTCCTGTTCTTTTTTCAATCCATAAACTTCACTTAAATCTAACCCTGTTTAACTACTCATATACTCCAAACACCATACAACCTGCACAGAGTTGCTGCCCTTAAATGTATAATCAGTGAAAAATTTGCCTCTGCTGCCATTGAAAGCATTATGTAGTTTAAAATTTGGACTAGAGAAACTCTGCTGTTTTAGATCAGTATTAGCATTCTCTGAGTATATGTATGTATGTACATGGATGTGTATATATAAATATATATGTATTGTGTGTATGCAGACACACACACACACAAACACACACTTTCATATGCTCCTAGTCGAAAGTTGTGTGAAAGCCACACAGGAGTACAGAGACACCTATGATGCCACTTTTTCTTTTCAATTATTCTTGTGTTATTTCGTTACTGAGAGGCAAAGGGACATGGGCGAAGTGACTTTAAAAAATAAAAGGACACATGTTCCACACAGAATAGTAAAATCTGATTGTGATCTGTCCTAAGGGGTAACTTTATAACCTTTCCTTCTGGAAGAGATATAAAGCCTTCTGACAGCAAAACTCCTTTAAAAAACAAATCAAATCAGATCTGCAAGTACACTCCCACCCCTCTCCTGCCGCACGATTTCTTGCACTTCATGTTAAGTGGAGTAATTAGGAACAACATTCAAAATGGAAAATAGGATTTGTCATTACTAGCTTGCCAAGGTAACAGATTGTACAACTTGAGATGAATTTGTGTTGTTTAAGAAGTTCAGAAAGGTTGGAAGATGGGTTTATAAATAAAGAAGTGGAGTCCATTGAAAGCCTGGTTTCTTCTCTGATTTTTTTTTCCTTGTGCGATAATCTGCTCTCTTCTCTCCTAGAGAGGATGCTTTTCCTGGAAGTTTTAAGTGTAACTATGTCTACACAGTGTGTCTATATCTAAATGTCCATAATATCATATACGTCTTTGTTATAGTATTATATACATCGTTCCTTTTCAGTGTGTCCTCTCTGAAGTAGGGTCAATAATGTTTGACTCAAATGTTGGCCTCTCCCCACTCTGCAAGGGTCACTTCCTCTGGGACAGTGAGCTTCACATTTCCCTGATGAGAAGAATCATCTGGGGGCTTGTAAAATACACTGGTTCCCAGGCTATCCCCTGCCAGACCTCCAGGAGTAGAGCCAGGGAATGGGTATCTTTAAGAAGGACCCAAGTGATGCTGCTCATGAGCAGGGCACACATGGTGGAAGCCTCAGGTTTATTGTTCATGCATACTTGCAGGGGGCGGGGCGTCTTCCCTCTCAGCCACTGTCCACATAACTGCAGTTCTCCAAGGTGGGCATTCTTACTCCCAGCCCCAGCTCACAGGCCTCACTGGGACCTCTTCTGCTGGAGACTGAACTCCAGGCCACCCTCCTGGAAATGGATAACTGCTGTGTTGTGATGGATTCAGTGGAAATGGGATATGAACAAGGTCCCATCTCTTCCCTGTTTCGCCTCTTAGATTCCCCCAGCTCCACTTTTACAAGATGATGTGCATTTAGCAGACTAGAAGAGTGAGAGGAACTGAAGGGATTTATAATGAGAGAAAAAAAAATATTACATTGTGCTTTGAGTAAGACTATCTACTAGTCCAAAGGAAAATAAGGCAGCTAGAGTATGGAATATTCAAGGAGCAGCATGTTTCTAGACTTGTTTCCCTGCCTTGAGGTCTGCCTCCCACTTCTAATTAATGCCATTTCCCACCCTCTGTTCTCCATTAGAAAGTCCCTTAGCATCCTTTATAGGACTTTTTGCCCATCTCTGCTCTATTTTTCACAAAGCCCCTAGAGTGAACTTTCTTAAACATAAATTCCCTGCTTGCGGTCCTTCGATGGATTCCCACTGCACTCAGAATAAAACTCAAGCTCTTTCTATAATTTCTTAGCAGAACCTCCGAATTCAGAAAGCCTGAGTTATCCAGGAGAGATCTCACCAGGCTGTGTGGGAGTATGAGTCTGGGAGGAGCGTGCGTTGGAGAGGAGGCCATAACAGAAGAGTCAGAGGGGAGCTCTGGGCTCCTGGTCCAGCTATTTTCAGCAGCTCTCCATCACTGAGAAGACAATGCGATTCTTTTGCTTCCTAGTTAGCCAATGGGTGGATCTTAAGATCAAATATGTGTCTGTGTGCATGCACTTGCACACATGTACACTAACATACTAACATACACTTGCCTCCACAAACACACTTCCCAAGAACAGACAATTATTCTCAATGTGCAAAGACACCACCTGGATTGTTAAAGTCCTCTTTCTTCAATTTAACCTTGTCCTCAATAGCAATCAGAGAACCCTAACTTTCCCTTACTTATCCTTCTACTTCAAAATACAAAAAAGGGCTAGGTAATATGGCCCAGTGGTTCAGTACCCCTGAGTTTAATCCCCAATAGCAAAAAAAAAAAAAAAAAGGCCTAAGCATCTACTGCATTGTAAGAGACATTTCCCATTAGTACTGTTTTTATTGCAACAGAGCCCACTAACCCCTGTAATCACTTCTAACTATCAGGATACCTCATCAAACCATCCCAAATGTGGCTTTTCTTTATCTTTGACTGGATCCAAGCTGAGGTAGGGCTTTCATCACCTCGAACACTATAAGGAGACATTATTATCAATAGGCATCTATTAAATAAATGAAGACATCCTTTGGCACTAGATAGAACAGACTTAGCTCCTGCCTCATGAAGCATATAATCTGGTAAAGAAGATACTCAGAAAAACGAATGAACACCAACATGCAAAATTGCAATTTCAATTAGCTCTATGAAAAGAATATGATTTTGAGATGATAGACCAAGAGGGAAATTCACATAAGAAATGGTGGTCAGGAAGGGCCTTTCTGATGAGATCATATGGAAGTATTTGAAGGGTTTGGGGAAGAATAATCTCTACAAAAGAACATACAAAAACACCTCAGCTCATATGGACAAAAAAATTCAGAATGTTGGGGTGCAGAGCCTGAGGATGCACAGGTAGGCAGGGCCTGGTACTTATAGAAGGAGCCTGGATTTTATTCTAAGTGCAACTGGAATCCATTGAAGGACTTTGAGCAGAGAATTTAGGTTTAAGAAAGATTACTCTAGTTGCTTTGTGAAAAATAGACCAGAGATGGACAAAAAGTCCTATTCAGATCCACCCCTGGTAGGATATAGGAGTGGGTGGAGAGTTGTTCTCCCTGCCACAAATATCTGTTCATCTTCTAGCCATGGAAACGGTCTTAGCTAAGAATGAGTTACCACACAACCCCCTCCCTCCTCCACTGGTTTCCAACACGCACTCACCTCGCTCTTCTCTCTCTCTCTCTCTCTCCCTCCCTCCCCCTAATACACACACACACACACACACACACATATACACACATACACCTTCCCAAATTCTTCCTCTCCTCTATTCTCTTGTCCCTA